TTGAATCAGCCCCCTCCCCTTCCTCCTCCACCCTATTGAACATACTTTAAATAAAAAAAGATCAATAGTGTACATCGAACTGATTTAAGCTATTTAATTTGTTTGAATGCTTTTCAATAGGGTGGAGAAGGAAGGGAAGGGAGCTGGTTTAAATTATCCAAATTATCTATATTGTGAAGCACCCGCAAATATTTTAATTTACACGGAAGGGATTTAATTTAAGTTGTTTAAATTACTTGGCTGAGGCTACACCCTACCCCACCTTACCCCACACCCACTGGTTTGGTCTGCCCTGCCCTGCCCCCCCCTGGTCCCACCCCCGCCTTGTGAGCAGGCCCACTCCACCTCCCTTCCATCCCCCCCTCTCCCTCCACAACACCCCTTACCTCATCTTTTTCTCACCCCTATCATCCTGTTCATTACGATTGTTATCCTGTCTATAATCTTTATCATCCTTGTTGCCATTTTGTTTATCAGCTTAGTATCCTTTCATCATGTTTATCATCATTTTGATCATCCGTAACATCCTTTTTGATCATCTTCATCATCCTTTTGATAATCTTTGTCATCCTTTTGGTCATGATTATCATCCTTTTTATCATCATTTGTTATCAGTTTCATTATCTTTATCACCCTGTTCCTCATCTTTACCATCCTTCTTAACATCGCTCTCATGTTTTGACCATTCTTTTCACCCACCTTATCAACCAGGGCACTACCCATGAGTGGAAATACCCAGAAGTGGATTCCGGTGGGATACCATTATCCACTAGTGGAAATCCCATTACCCACTAGTGGAATCCAGTGGAATCCCACGAGCCACTAGTGGAAATCCCATTGCCCACTAGTGGAACCCAATGGAACGCCATTACCCACCAACGGATTTCCTTTTAGTGGAATCCAGTGCAATCCCATTGCCCGCCAGTGGAAATCCCACTACCCACGGAAGCCATTAGAATCCCATTATACCTCATTACCCACCAATGGAATCCAAAATCCCACTACTAACGAATGGAACTCCCACTACCGGCTCATGGAACGCAGTGGAGTCCCACGACCCACTGGCGCTAGAATCCAGTGGAATCCCACCAATCCCCCTACCCACTGATGGGAAGCCCACCACCCACCAGTGCAATCCAAGAAAGCCAAGCAATTAACTACCCACTAGTGGAATGCAGTGGAATCCCACTGCCCACTTGTGTTGGAATCCCACTATCCAGTAATGAAATCCAATGGACTCCCTCTGCCCGCTGGTGGGGCTCCATTTCCAGCAAAAGCCTGCTACCCACTAGTGGAACCCAGTGGAATCCCGCTACCCACTAGTGGAGATCCGACTAACCGCTCGTGGAATCCCACCCACCAATGGAAATCCCATTACCCATCCAGTCGTACTAATGGAATCTGGCGGAATCCCACTGCCCACTAGCAATGGAAATCTCATTGCGCACTATGGAATCCAACATAACCCCATTAGCCACCCACGGAAATCCTTTTGGTGGAATCCAGTGCAATGCAAACACTAGTGGAACAGTGGAACCCCATTACCTGCTAGGGGAAATCCCACTAGCAGACCAGGAGGATCAGAAGTATGTCATCATCACACCACATAAGTGTGCTTCGTGAAGAAGGAGTCCTAAGTATGGCCTGAATGATATCAGGATTAAAGCAAATACATCCGAGGTATGACGTCATCACGCCACATGAGTCTGCTTCGTGAAGAAAGAATCTTAAGTATAGTCTGAATGACACCAAGATCAGGCCAAAAGAAATTGGAAACATGCTATCACCGTGCAACATAAGTCTGCAGAAAATGAATCTGTAGACTGTAGAATAATTTGGTTAAGTGTATGAGGTACGGTGAAGTATTCAACATTGTGTTTATGAATGCTTATATAAAAGTTTGGTGAAAAGAGACCAAAAAATCAGCCACATATGATATATACATATATACATACATATATATATATGTATACATATTCGTTTATATACATATGTATGTTTACACACACCTGTTTATCTAGTTGTGTTGGTTTCTGTATGCCCGGGAAGGCGAGAACATGTGTATATCAGCACATATCAGCCAAAATAACCATATCTATACCTATGCCTGTATCTATAACTGTGCACCAGTACGTGTGTGTGTGTGTATGTTTATCCTTCTGTTCTCCACGACATGGGCCTCTCATGGTCTTTGGTCAAGCCGTGCTCATAGCATCTACAGCGAATCTACGGAAGCATCCGCACACCATCAGAGATGCTGCAGCTTCTTGAAACTCGAATCTGCTTAGCTGCTTAGCTGGCCTATGCTGGCCTGCCACAGGGAATGATTTGCACGGACACGGCACTGCACGAAAGCCGCTTGAAATGGCAGACTTACACATACCGGGGCATCGACTCCACTCACGTCTCCTCTTTTCAGCTTCGCTCCTCCAAGCAATATGGCCTGCCATGCAGGATGATGCGCTCGCACAGCCGCGGACACACGTGGATTCTGCAGCATGAAGCCAGCGACTTAGCATGGGCAACTCTGGCAGCGGCAGCAGCAGCAGCAGCAGCAGCAGCTGCCACAGCACGATCGGCAGCTGCATTCGCAAAATTAGCCAGAAACATCACAAACACAGTGGTAACGAAACAGAGTGGAGCGAGAACGCTACCACCAGCACCAAAAACAACTTCAACATGTACCAACAAACAACACCACCAGTATCACCAGTCACTAACAACAAACTAACAAAACAACACATAACAAGAAACAGGGCAACAACACACAACACATCACAACACCAAATACTGACCAACGAGCGCCAACATGCAAAATTAATCGACAACACACATCGTGCAATAACTACATCATCAACAATAGCAACACTAACATCAACATCCACCTCACCAACGACACCAACACCAGCATCACCAACTGCAGCACAAACAGTAGCTGCACGACGCAAACGACATCAACACCAACACCGACGTAACCAGCTATACGTCAGAACCGTGACCACAACACCAGCAACCCCACTGAGGCCGGAACCTGTGAAACTGCACCGCCGACAATGTGCGCATTTACTCGAATGAGCTTGGCCGCATCATCGACTGCACCTGCATTCTCCTGAACCTGCCAAAAGGAACAGCCGCCTCAACGAATAAGGAATGTCTGCACAGGCCACAAAGCAAGACTGAGGCGTGGACAAGATTGTTGAATTCCTGGAGGGCTGCAACTTCGTCCAGGATATCTTGACATGATGCAAGCTTGCTGATTATTATGCTTAAACCCTGCATGATAAACCACCAAAATTTCATGCAACGGCATTCGAAACACCAACATGGTGATACCAACCCCATATCACATTCCTCACCTCTCCCCTAAACCCATGTTTTTGGAGTTCTCTGCTTTCGGAGGCCGAACGACCAGGTGCAGCTGAGGCTCAGCCATCAACGTCCCATTTGTATGGTTGAGGTTCACTAGGAGCTGTTGTAGCACGGCACCTGGTGGCGAATTGAATTTGTGATTTAAGGTTCCATTCACAACGCCTCCATGCAGCAACGCAATGTCAAGTGCACCTGTGCCAGTCCTGTTGGGTGCCGGCGGTTGCTCATTCGAAATCTGTTTCCTCGCCAAGTCTTCACTAGACTAGCGCAGGGGCGAGAAGCCTAACGCGGTACAACTGCCCTATGGCGATTCTTGACGGCAGTTTTGTATGCGTGCTCCTGATGTCCAAGCTGTCAGGCCGCAGTGGCAAAGCTCCGACACACACAAATGGCGTTAGCACCGCGATGGCCCAGCAGTCTGTGAGAAACTGCCGCATTCATCGCAGGGCGCCTGAAACCAAGCAGGCATCACGGTCACGGAAAACATCTGTTTTGTAAGAGCTTCCGCTGAGACGGCAACCCGAAGCGCCACAGGAACTATATGTATACCGGTACCGAATTTTGAGCTGACGAGCCCATGGGCTGCGACAAAGCATCAGACAATATGGAAATGGCATGAAACGGTCACCCGTTTGTTCGCAGTATGTCCGAACATCCGCGCAGCGGCAACCGGCTGGGCTCAGCACGCACAAGACTACGAATCGCCTGCCGGGCGGCGCCCTTGAACTTGGGGTTAACAAAATCAATGATTTTTTCTTGTGTTTCCACTGCGCCTTCTCTGACTTCGTCAACAACGGGGTCAACAAAAATTCAAAACTTCTAAGAGATGCTAACTAAACATTTACAATCAAAATTATCGCCAGCACGACTCAGCCGCGCTACAACACCTACAACTACAAGCTACCCGGACTTCACGCTGCACTGAGGCAGCCGACCAGCGTTCAGGAGTCGGCAGTCGGGCTGCCGAGGCTTTCAGCAGGGACCCCTGAAGCACGGAGGCCCTTCACTCCCACCCTGGGACCCCTGAAGCACGAGGGATTAGAGGCCCTTCACTCCCACCTGGGTTCAGGGTGTAGGGTTGAAAGCCCTATAAGCCCCAAAACACTAAAGCCTAAGCCCTATAGGCCCTAATAGTGAGAGAGGCTCAGGGTTTGGGGTAGCCAAGCCCGTCTTGACCCAGCCTCCCGGACTTCAATGGCGCTGTCGCCGGCCAGCTCTTCTTGCAGGAGCTCCGTCATGCCTTGCCGCCCATGGGATCTTAGGGTTTAGGGATTCTATACACCCCTTTGATCCATAATGAAAGTAATGTTTTAATATTCCTCGTGGGTTTTATGAAAAGACTAAACAATAATTCTTAAGGAGACTGTAGGATTAGGGGTTTATAGGGATATACAGCAGGCATGGCAAACAGAAAAACTATATAAATGCATTGTATAGAGACTAGCGCACATGGGCATGACATTTGCCAAATGCCTGAGTCAACAGCCTTGAACGACTCTGTTCAGCGGCACGGAAAGAAGGCGCATCGAACAGTTCACCTCCTTCGAGGCGCGTTTAGATGTGCAAAGGTGGTCACCTTGTGAAGACTGTGGCAATTTGCCAACTAGCTCGAATTCGGCCTCTAACTCAGACTACATGCTAAACGAGTCTGGCTCCGGCTTAGGCAGCTCAGGGCCGGAACTCGGTCTCCGCTTTTTGTCGATCTTCTGAAGGCACTTTGTGACACTCGCAAAGAAGATCAGGCGCACGAAGCATGGGCCAAGGACAGGAATCCGGGCTGTCCTTCTTGGTCCCAAAGCCGAAATCGCAAGAGTCAAAGGGGTGAGCACGAAGATCTGCAGGAACCACCTCGTGAAGGTGTAGGCACTGTTTGGTATGAAGATAGTAGGGAGAAAAAGTACCCAGATGATTTGAGCCCGAGCTGCAAACGCTCTTCTGTCCAAGGGAAGCACCGCAAACAAGCCCAGGCCTGTTGGGGCTTCCAAAGCTGACAGAACGGTCAGCAGCACCAGCCAGTAGTTGGAGATACTGAACTCTTCCTGGTGGCCCAAGAGAATAATCGGCGCAGATCCCCAGAAAAAAATGATGCTCGCGACCACGACGGTTCGGTTCCACATGGAAGCATCGCCCAAGGGGCCCGTGCGCTCTACGGTTGCGTGCAGCTCACGGCTAAAGATGTTCATCGAACGCAAGACTGACACGGCATCCTCCACCTCAGCCTCACGATTGCTTTCACGGATCTGCCCCCAAATGGCTTCTGCATCGGAGGAGGAGGAACAGGAAGCACTGTAACAGGCCGTGAAGCCGCGCTGAAGCTCCTCCACCTGTTTGGATGCCTGTAGAGAGTTCTGCCGGTCAATCTCGAGGGCAGTGGCTACACCCACACAGAACAAAAAATCTCTGAGGGCGAACATTCCAAAGGTCTCGTGGGCTATCGCTGAAGCAAAAGACAATCCTAAAGAAACTGCGGCACCCAGCACTGCAGCTTCATGAATTGCTGAGATTCGGAGGCCGCGTGATCCCAGCAAGGCCAAGGAGAGAAGGGAAAAAGTCATGGCCGCCATCCGAAATACCAACCTAAAGATGCCAAGGTGTACATCATCCAGAACCTCCGCCGGGAGCAACAAGAACGCCGACATGCTTGCCACACAAACGCATGCAATGCGGATTCTTCGTGCCAAGGCCCCTGGAGCCAAAGTCCTTGCCGTGTTGATGGGCTTCTCCCAGGAATATGCTAAGAATGCTTCATACACACACCAAAGCCGCGAGTAGATGCTACATGTCTTATTCGACACGACTAGAACCTGAGTCGCAGATTGCATGGCTTGGGCGAATGGTGAGCTCTCAGGGCTCGCAATCAAATGTCCAATGTCCAGGTTCTGTGGGTTGGATAAGAAGCAAACGTAAGCACCAGCGGCATGCCGCGGCCAGCAGCTGACCACTTTGTCAACAAACTCGAAGATCCCCTCAGCCCAAGCGTGCGTGATGAATAAATCGCAGCGCAGCCCATCCGGATGCTTCATCAAAGCCCAGCTCACGCGCCCAGCGGCAGCCGTGATTGGCTTGATATACTGCTCATTTACCGTGTACATTGATGGTCCATGCCTCAAATCTGATGGATCAAACTTGTCCCGCTCGGTCGGCGTGATGCGGCCATCCTTGACAGCGTGCATTACCAGTCGTCTGAACTGCTTCAGGTCCTCCAAGCTGACGCACCAGTCGCTCATGGCTACACTTTCGTGCAGCCTGGGGCCGTCCAGCGTCACTGGTAAAGTCTCAACGCTTGCATCGTTCGCTGTTTTGTTGGGCAACAAAGGCACACTGCAGTTAATGATGATGGTGGCCCACAAAATGCCCACTAGGCTTGCGGCAAGCAGGACCCCAACAGCTGTGAGGACTGCCTCCTGTTCCTGGCCGCAATCAGAGACCCATCCGCTTTCACTGGGGCAACAACCGAATTCCACCCACGGAGTAAGAGCGCCACTAGAATAATTCAATCTCCGCACCACCTGGGCCTCGTAGCCTTCAGAGCAAGAACAAGCCTCAATGTAGCTTGTGCGCCGGCAAACCGGTGCAGGGTCGCTGCAGTGATCCGCAGAAAACCCCTCACATCGTTCGCTGGCAACTTGTGTCGCCAAGGACAGCATCATTATCAAAAGCGACATGGCTGTCTCACTCAGCAGTTTCTATGTTGGCCAGATGTGAGAGTCACTTTTTCGTCAGTACGAGCCATATATACCTAAGGACGATAAGGATCCCTAGCCACATCAGGACGACGGATGCGGGGAAGAGGCCGTACGCGAGCTTGCTGCATTAATTAGTTTATAGGCTTGGGTTGCCAGGATTAAGAAATTATGAAACGCCCCGCAAAGTACGCACCACTAAACACCAGAAAAAAAATTTAAGAAACACGCAAACAACTAAGCCCTGACCCTAAACACTAAACCCTCTAAAGCCTAGCCGCCAAACCAAGAATGAGTACAAGCCTATGACCAGTTGGCAAAGGTGGGATCCGCACGCCTCCAAAGAGAACACATGTTGTTGTGTAGAGTTTAGGGTCTGGGGCTTACGGTGCTGTCTTGGCCCACACACAGACGAGTGTTGATGCAAATGAGGAGCCCTTCTGCTGTCCTCGAAGGCAAGATCTTCCATATACTTCTGGTTTGGAACACCGTGCAAGAGCCCAAAAAGCCAAAAAACTCTTCTCCCCCCCACCCCTGTTATTCAATCCCTTCCCTCCGTCTGGGACCCCAGAAGCACGAGGGATTAGAGGCCCTTCACTCCCACCCTGACACCCCTGAAGCACGAGGGGTTTAAGGCCCTTCACCCCCATTCTGGTACCCCTCCTGAAGCAGAGCTTCATGCAGGCCAGGCATGGGCCCTTCGCCCACCTCGGCGGCTGGGGGCCACCCAGGACGGTATGGCGACGCGCAGCAGGAGGGCTGGGAGCTGAGTCACATTGAGTCACTGTCGGGGCACTACATGTTCCTCGGGGCCAATGGCTTCACTCCTTGGCTTCCATGCCCCGTGTGGTTTAGCTTATGGAGTTTTGGGACTGCTGCCGGGGGTCCCTTTCAATCAGGAAGGCAGTGAACTGGCATACTGCAATGCATTTCTTTTTTTTTGCTCGCGCCTTGTTACGACTGCAAAGAACGGTCTTCGTCGGCATCTACACGGCCTACGGCTGCAGGAGCAGGCGCGACCGCGGGGGAGGCCGCTGCCGGGGCTAGTCCCAGCGTGCGTCAGCGAGGACCTCGTGCAGCACAGGCACGGGTCCGTCGCAGAGGGCCTCTGCGGGCGGCAGCTCTAGCAAAGAAGCGGCATTGGCGCGCTGGGCTGCGACGGCGAAAAGCCCAGACCAGCGTGCGACCCAGGCCGAGATCGTTGCAGGCGGTACTGTAGCTGCCCTTTCTGTGCCTTTCTGTCCCAGGATGCCGGTAATTGGGGGCTACGCCCGAGACCGCAGACTTGGGTTGAAAAGCGGCACATCTACGTGCGCCGCGCGCCCGCGGCCCACGCGCGCATCGGTAATCGGCTTTTTTTTTTTTCGCGCACACTTTTTGCGAACAGTACACGGCGGTCCCAGTGCACCTGCGAGCTACGGCTACCTAAGTCGGTGCGGGGAGGCGGCTGGGAGCCGGGGTGTCGAGCCACCGTGCGTCCTGCAGGACTTCATGCACAGCCGGTTCGCCGGCAGCGGCACCAACTGCCTCGAGGGGGAGCTCGAGCAGGGAGCTGGCAAGGGCCCGCTGCGCTGCCACGGCGAT